GCACCAGCAGGGCCCTAGGCCGGCCCCCTTACCTGTTGTAGTTGTGGACCAGGTCGAAAACCATCATGTCAGTGGTGTTGACAAACTTGCACTGGACAGGCAGAAACCTGCCATCCGGAGAACACTGGGGTGGAGACTTGTCCCCCACCCCGTGGAGAAGGCGGCGGTTTCTTATCTCACAGCTCTCTGGACCTAAACATGTCCAAGAAAAAACGGTCACTTCTATGTGCGAAAAGGTGCATACGCGTCTGCGGTCTACAGGCACATACCCATTTTACACACGTGATAGCTAGAGACCCGAGCAGGGACTAAGGTCACCAACACCCTGCTAAGCTCCTAAGGGCCAGCCAGCACACACTGATCACCCACATATGGAAATATTAAAGTAATAAATCTTCCGTGAATACTTTCATCTCTGCGCTGAGGGCCAGGATCCCTGCCTCTTGGTCACAGTGGGGACAGCCAGCCGCACACCCTCCTTAGGGCTCTGGTGCTCAGTGATACTTACATCTCGTGGGCCTGCCCAGCTGGCGGGTCCCGTACACCTCCATCCCCTCCGTGTCCACACACCAGCACTGCTCCCGCCGCAGGTCACACTGCACGGGCATGTACTCCCCCGAGTCTTGACACTGAGGGAGGTAGGAGGTGGCCGTGCTGTTGAGGTAGCTGCTCAGCAGGATTTGCTGCTTGTGCAGTTGGCAGAAAGACAGACCTGCGGGCACAAGGAGCAGTGATGGGTCTCAGCCCAGGAGAGCTCGTGCCACCTCCCTAGAGGGGGAAGGTGGCCTTCCCGCAGCTGAGAGGTTACCACCCGGCCATGGAAGCTCAGTGTCCCAATTGTCCACCTTTATCCCAGAACTCCTTCCAGCATCCTGTGGCCCGAGTTGGGGAAAGGCAGGCTTCATCCCGCCCCATCAGTCTCCCGGACCCCCCACCAGCCTGGAGCTGCGGAGGTGGGTGCGAATGGAGCTGTATACAGGCCTGGCTGTTAACAGAGCTTGTCTGCGTCCGAATTTCCCCACCTGCTTGCTGTGCAATCTTGGGGAATTCGCTTCGCCACTCTGTGCCTCCGTCTCCTCATCTGTAGACTTGAAAATACAACTGCCTTCTTCAGCTACAGGAGTGACGCTGACAATCACTGCCCCTGCTGAATACACACTGTGTGCCCGGTGCTTCACGTGTGTGTGCTAAACCCTCACGCACCCCGTGAGGCCCATCCCATGTTCCTGTTACAGACAAGGAGCCAGAGCTCAGTGAGGACGTGTGACGGGCCAGCGTCATTCAGCCGGAGGCTGGGAGCCGGCCTGCTCCCTCCGACAGTCATGCTGGCCTGAAAAGCCAGAGCCCAGACCCGAGCTTTTCTCCATCAAGGGATCACTTGGTTCCAGGCTCAGTTTCACCATTTAAAGGTGACCAGCTTAAGTTGGTCTTTGTCTTAGGCTTAACGTGACATGCTCCAGACAGGGACTGTTTCTTTGACTATTCATCATCGTCATTATTTTAGCAGGAAAGTTTCCACCTGAGTCTCAAATCTCAGAAACACTTCAGGTGAGAACACACTTGGTGAGCTCACTGCTGCTCTCCGGTTCAGAGCCTTGAATATCTGCGCACGTGGTGTCCTCAGCACCAGGCCCCGACCCTGGCACGTGGGGGATCAGTAGCTATTTGCTGAAGAAGTGCCTTGATAGTCCCATTTGATTTTCACGGGAGTCCTGCAGGACATGGCCTCGCATGCAGGACTGTGAGCCTAAGGCAAAGAGGGAGAGCCAGCAGCCCAGAGGGACGCTGGCCTGGTAACGTGCCAAGCCCGGCGCTCTCTCCCAGATGTGCATGGCTCTATCGAGGTTCCCCATTGCCATGGGACACCTCTGTCACCCCCTTTCATACTTACATGCCACAGGCCGCCCAGGCTGCCTGCTGCCAGGCACCTCCCTGCCGTCGGCAGACACACACCAGCAAGAGCTGCCATCCTTCAGGCACTGGATAGTCCTGAGGCAGGGGAGACACCCATGCAGACACGGTGATGGGCTCTGGAAGCCACAGTGCAGGTCATCTTCCCTCTGCCCTTCCCATCCTCCAAGTTGTAATGGGTGTAAATTAGGGAGAGGTTGGAGTGGAGGGCGGGTGACTGGGGGAAGGAAGTGCACCTCTCCTGCCTCTCACTAGCCCTGCAGCCTCAGTCACTCGCTCTCCAGCCCCATCTGCAAGCTCTGTAGCAAATGCCCATCCTGGTGTGTGAGCTTCAGCCACAAGGAGGCTGCAGAGGGTGAAGGCGAGGCCCTCCTCATGTGGACCAGGGGCGGGGACACCACCTGGGGGATCAGAGAGCAGGGCCACGGTTGCAATGACACGGGGAAGCAGTGCCTGGGTTTCCCGGGGCAATGATGGCTGCACTGAGGCGGCGGATGACCAGGTGTTATAAAAGGTGTTCCAGGTAAAGAGGTGAGGGTGGGACTGAAACTACAAGTGGCTGGAACAAGGGAAAAGCCGGTGAGTCAGGCCAGCGGAGGTCAGTCACCCTGACTCCTCCACGCCCCCGGAATCCCCAGGGATCCAGGCAGGGCCTGGACTAGGGGTGCCACCTGCACCCTGGGGAGCATGGAAGAGGGCTGTTAGGCACATTAGGGCGCATATAAAATAAGAGGGAGTCCCCCAAGTTCCAGGTGACTGGAAGAGCAGGGGGAGTTTAACTGTATTACAGACAAAGGACTCCCGTGGGGGAGCTGTTTAGATTGTCACTCCACCCTACAGGGACAGAGTCCGGGACCCACGTTCATCAGAGGAGAGCTCCCCGGGAGACAGCAGCGTGTAGCCCAGCCCTGGCCCCCGCTGCCATCGACCTGAAGTCCACCCAGCTTCCACTGCCTCCACCTCTGGCTTCTCAAGAGGAAAAGAGGAGGGGAGGCACCAAAGCATAAGCCACTCCTTCCTCTGCACCTTTTGTTAAAGAATCACAGTAAAAGTTTTGGCAGAAAAAGAAGGGACGTCCTTGGTCCTGGCTGCGGTGAAGCATGGATTGGGGCTCCCTGGGTCAGGCTCCCCAGTGTTGATCAGCCTGGGGGACGGAGAGGCGGGTGCCCCCTAACCACAGGGGCCACCTCTCAGCACGCGGAGGGGAGGGAAGGGCATAGCGGGGACAGCCAGATGGTTTTTAAGGCCCCAGCGGCCTGGGGGCGCACCCGGCAGACGGGAGCCTTACTGGAAGCGGCCGTCCTCGGCGCACTGGGCCACGTAGTCCGCTCGCCGCCGAAGGGCCCTTTCCCGCCGCAGCTCGCAGGGGCGCAGGGGCTGGGCGTCCACCTGGTACTCTAGGAAGGGGAGCGACGCGTGAGAGAAGAGCGTGGCCTCACGCCGGGACAAGGATGGGGCCCCTCAAGCGCAGGTGCTCTTCTGGGTCTTATTTCCAGCAGCAAGACCAGCCGTTAGGCTCCAGCTTACAATTGTGCAACTGTCCACACTTTTCCCAGTATGACATTAGCTCCTTCAATTCTCAACACACACCTGAGTGGGGGCAGAGGGGCCCATATCCCCATGTGGCCCTAAGATGGGACAGTGGAAGTAACCTGCTCAGGGTCACACGGCTGGCAAGAGGATTCAGCACAAACCCGCGGCTGCGTGTTCCCCCAGGCAGCGCTGCGGGGGGACCGAACACCGTAAGCGGGGTGTTCTCCAGTCTGTCCAGCCCTCCCTGCACAGAGCACCTTCCTGGCACAGAGTAGAAATGCAAAGTAACTGATGGCTCTCACGTGTCTAATTTTCACTGAGAACATGTGCACCACGCCAGGGCTTACTCGGAAATCACAAGCACATCAGAGGGTAAGTGCCATTTGCTTCCTTTCCCAGTGAGGGAACGGAAGCTTAGACTTATCCAAAGTCACACGGCAGGTGGCTGAGCTGTGGCCAGAACACAGGCCTATTTCACCCACAGTGGATTTTTTTACTCCCTACTGACTATTCACATGCCTCTTATGGATGACGCGGGCCTTGAGAGAGCTAAGAAAATAAAAAAAACAATGTTGATGTCAATAATTTGCTAACAGCGTGGGGTGCGGGGAGTTAGAATTAAATTAGGGAGATCCAGTTTCCCGTATCCTGTCCACCAATGGCCAGCTCTGTGACCTCAGGCAAGTGAGCCTATCTCTCAGAACCTCTGTCTCTTCACCTGGAAAGAGCAAATAACCGATCTGGGGACACTGTAGGGATTAAATGTGATCGCAGAGGTTTAAAGGGCCTGGGGCAGAGCCTGGCTGGCTTTGGAGCTCTGCCCTGAGAGCTCCCTCCTCCACCTGCTCCAGGGCCCTGGGCTGGGGACTCACCAAAGATGTTGGCTGACACCAGGCAGGCTGAGCCCAGCAGACTGAGGGCCCACAGGACCAGCGCCATTCTTCTGGGCCCTTCAGGGAAGAAGGGGTAGAAGTGCTCGTGCCCCAGGGCTCTGGCTGGGGAGGTTTAATGGATCTGCTGTGCCGACCCCCCACCCCCTACCCCCACCCACGGGTACTCAGGGAAGCAGCACCGCCCTGTTCTCTCTGCTGGTCACAAGGGCTCCTCCACTGCATCTGCTCCCTGAGGACACTCGTGTGGCCAGTGGGGGGTGAAAGTCTTGCTGAGGATAGGAGGGAGCAGAATTGGGTTGGGTGGCTTCAAAATTTGTCTTTACACAGGAAAGCTCTGTGGGCGACAGGCTCAGGCCCCCAGGAGGAAAAGCAATCCCTCCCTCCCTCCCTCTTTTCTCTCTCCTTCCATCTTTCCTTCTACCAATATTTTTTTAGAGCCCAGCAGTAGCAGACGCTGCGCTAGGCAATGGGGGTGGGCAGAGAACAATGTGGGGAGCCAAACACACACATTCACGTTCACACTTATCCTCCTGCCCCCTCTGTCCAGGAATTCGGACGTCACCAACCTATGGGGAGCAGGGCCTGTGTCTTCTGCACGAAGCCTGCACGTCAGCCCATTTTCTCTCAGTAGAGCCAGCTTCCTGCCTGCGCTCCTGTCCCCGCGTGACCTGACAAGATCGCCTTGTCCCCCTGAGCTCTGGCCCCCTTCTCAAGAAAAGAGAAATAGCCCAGCTGGACGTGGCTCAGCGGTTGAGCGTCAACCTGGGATCCAGGCGATTGGGGTTCGATTCCCGGTCAGGGCACATGCCCAGGTTGCGGGCTCGATCAATGACTCTCTCATCATTGATGTTTCTATCTCTCTCTCCCTCTCCTTTCCTCTCTCTGAAATCAATAAAGATATATTTAAAAAAAAAAAAAGAGAGAAATAAAAGGAGAAATATAATGTGTACCTACTTGCTAGGGAGGCCGTAAGGGAATAAATGAGGCATTGACAAGTATGTGCCCAAGAAATGCTAGTTGTTACTATTGAGTTTCTCACTTGCAAATGACATTGTGCCAGGGAACCACAGGAACACAGAACCCAGCAGTGAGGGGCGAGTGACAGGTTCGGACAGGCGGGGGGGGGGCACAATCAAAGAGGACCTCACCAAGAATGTGGCACTTGAGTGGAGATGAAAGGCAAGCAAAAATCTGGAGGGACATGTTCAAGAGAAAGGGAAAGGGGAAGGGTGGGGACAGGCTGGGAAGTAGAGCATGCTCTGCCCTGGGGACAAAAATGAAGGAAACAGAACTGCAGAAAGGTGGATTGTACTATGTAATAGGGTTGCGATGGATATTGCAAGAGTTAATATCAGTAAAGTGCTCAAAACAGTACTTGTATGTAAGTACTCAGTGTTGGTTACTATCTCATTTTTGTGTTTGTGACATAAACTACAGAAAGTAAAGCTCAACAGTTATTTTAACTGATGGTGTGGGATTAAAAATAGGTGAGAAACCCTGCTCTGAGCATCCTTCCTGAGGAATCACATCAGCCCACAGCTCCAACAGCTCCAGGTCCAGCTCCAGCTCCAGCTCCAGCTCCAGCAGCAGCTCTAGCTCTAGGTCCGGGTGCAGGTCCAACTCCAGCACCAGCCCCAGCTCCAGAACCAGCTCCAGCTCCAGCCAGATCTCTCTGTCAAGCATCTGGTCCACTCTGCCTGGGGGGCTCCATAGACATTTCAAATTCCACACGTCCCAAATGGAGCATCCCAACACTTCTAACACTGCTCCTTAACATGCCATTACTGTCTAATAGCAAACCTGAGTGCCATCCTAAACCCCTGCCCTCTTACCTCCAAACCCTACCATCCCTTGGGCCCGGCCCCTCCTCGGCACCCTCACTGCCCCTGCCTCCTTCGGGCCCCGCAGCTCCAGACTAGCTGACCAGCACAGCCTCCTTCCTGGCCTCCCTACTCCCACTCTGGCCCTCACCAGGCTGCTCCTCAGTTGTAGGGGTGTGGGATGGAGACACACTCCTTGGGTGTCAGGAGGAAGCATGGGCAGGTCTCAGCACCCACTTAGTAGGCATAACTGTGAATGAGACTTAGATGTAGATGATTTGATGTGTTGGCATTTGCTGGTAAAGGTAACACAAGAGGAAGAGATCCCCCCAACCCGGCCCCCTGCCACCCCCACTATATGGGCCAAGTTACAGCCCATGCTGTGGGGGGCCAGCGGCTGTCTTCACTGTAAGAATGTAAATCACAGCCTAATGTAACCAGCCCACCCCAAAGCACACACGCAGAGCCTGCAGGGTCAGCCTGTGCAGAGTCATCCTCGCTGGCCTGGGCCCCGGGAAGCAACAGAGGTATCAGCGCCTCCTGCCCCGGGCCAGGGGTCTCCGCTCCACTGGGTTTGGTGCTCTGGGGACACTGGAATTCACATCTCTGGGATGAAGAGTGCTGTGAGGTCAAGGAACGCAGCCCGTGAGCTGACTCCGGTTCAGACCCCCCTGGAGAAGGCGGCGCTCAGCCGGCTGTGACAGTGAGCGCGCAGTGGGCCAGAGCTGCCCGGGCGGAGAGCACCCAGGAGAGGTGCTTCTCTGCGCCCAAGCAACAGAGCGGTGAGCTGAGAACCACGCCAGGGCACGGCCTCTGCACCCCGAAACCTTTCTCATCGTGACTCAGCTCCTGTCACCACTCTCATGGCCACTGAGCTGGGAGGACACGCAAGCTCCCACAGTAACTCCAGGTGGCCGTGCCCTGGCCTGGTCTTCACCAGCCTGCTCCTGCTCAGGCCTCTGTCACCGGCCCTGCCACCTCTCCACTCTCCTTGGCCCCAAGCACAATCACATAACCTTCCCTCTCATCCCCTTCCTCTCTGAGACGAGCGTGCTGTGTATGTATAATGAGCGCTTACTGGAGACTTGTGGGTGAGAGAGTGGAATACAAGGAGGAAATGCTTCAAAATATCAGCCGTCACCTACCAGGAACTCACTTACCAAGCCCCTCTCCCCTAACCCAGCCGTACTGGTGCTGGCCGGCCTCTCCCCATCTCCACCCCCAGGAACTCAAAGCCACGGTCCTCCTTCCCCTGGGTCGCCAGGACTTCTGCTTCCAGAAAGATGGAACAGATACACTTTATTTTTTTATAAATTGTTTTAAAATCTTTATTGATTTCAGAGAAAGGAAGGGAGAGGGAGAGATAGAAACATCAATGATGAGAGAGTCATTCATCGGCTGCCTCCTGCACAGCCCCTGCTCGGGATCGAGCTGCGGGCATGCGCCCTGACCGGGAATCAAACAGCGATCTCCTGGGTCTTAGGTCGATGCTCAACCGCTGAGCCATGCAGCTGGGCAGAGCCGATGTATTTTCCCTGTTCCTCCTGCTAAACACAGCTAAAAACCCTGCATAATGCAGATAAAGCAAAAAGAAGACACTGAACAGTGGGTGAGGGAAGACAGCTGGGTAGCAACCTCAGGACCAGAGGAACACTGTGGTAAAAGTTCCCTGGAGTTAATTTTGCCTCATATATCTCAGACTAGGTGTTGGAGAAACAGCAATCTAGAAAATTGCAAAAAGTTCAGAAACCCCCCTTTCCCTAAAAAGCCTCTGGAGCCACAAGTGCAGGAAAGGGGCAGCTAACACCACAGGGCACCGTGGCACCACTCCCCCCTTGCTAGCAGAGGCCAACAGGACAATGGGATTCCACCCTTGGCAAGCTAGGGAGGCTCCTCCCAGCTCCGTGCCAGGCGCTGACAGGCCATGTGAGCAGAGGAGCCGGGACTCACACTGGCTGGGCAGTAGAGCCCCTCCGGCTGTGGAGACAAAGTGGGGAGCCTGAATTCCTCCCCACCCAGTGGTGACAATAAGGTGGTGCTCTCCCCTTCCAAAGGAGTGGTCTCAGTGGGGCCTGGAGAGGCGGGACTGTCATCACTGCCCAGAAGCAGCAAAGCCATCTCCCGGTGGTTGCTGAAGGTAACTGGGGAGCCAAACATCCTACCCCCACCAGCAGGAACAGGGGTACACCCCTGCAAGGTGTCAGGAGAGGCAGAGCCAGGACCTGAATTTCTGTTCCCACTGCAGTCAGTGAAGAGGTGTCCCTCTCCCCGGGTGGTGTCCCTCTCCCCGCACTACAGTAATGTCAGTTCTACACAATGGAGAGATTGGGATCTAGAATTTCTTAACACAATACCCAAGTGTCCAGGTTTTGACCAAAAATGGCTCATCATACCAAGAACCAGGAAAATGTCAACTTGAAGCATCAGCTAAATTAGAGACAGCAGGTAACACGCACAACGCCTGGCCCAGAGCAGGCTCGGTCTGTTACCCCTATAAGTTTAGAAGTGACCGTGTTGCTGAATCAGAATGAACACAGTTCAACTTTCAGCAGTAACACTTCTGCGAAACGAGTTTTATGAGAAACAGTGGACTACCAGTGGGACTGAGTAGTGGGAAGCCACCATCCATTTAGAGGACCCGGGACATCTAGGGATGAAAGGGAAATGGGGGGAGACCGTGGGTTTCAAGTGGGAGATGAGGGGGTAGATCGCAGGTTTTAAGCGGCTCTCTTAGGGTGACGCCATTAGCAGAGTGAAGCCAGCCGGAGATCCAAGTGACTGCAAAGAAATGGGCCCCATATGAACGTGTGGAATATGAACATCTGAGAGGAAGTCAGTCAATGGAAATGAGTGTTAGGAAGGGGAGCTTTACCTGAAATGATGAGACTAACCAAGTTCCCTAAAGGAAAGAGGCACTACCCTAAGTTTGAAAATAACTCAGTAGAACCACACCCCAGTATGAGGAAGGACAATTATATTCATCAGTAACACTCCAAGAATGGCTGATCCGCATCAATACCCATGCTATTCTATCTGGGTAGCAGGGAAGCTACCTTTTCGAGAAACACCTTCTTCCAGTTTATTGTTTATATTTAAATATATATATACTGTGGTTTTTAAAGTGAGACTAAGTAGAAAGAAAATCAGCTCCTCTGAAAGCCCTCACAAGGGACTTACATTCACATAAGGCAGGCTCAGCCCACTAGCTGCTAAAAGGCCTCTATCAGTTGTCGGTACACTTTGTATTAAATGGATATGTACATACACATTTGACATAGATTTACTTAAAAATCTAAATTTAAAAATTCAGACTTCCAACTCATACACATATAAGGTAGCAGAGCAAAATTTCAGCAACCTAATTATCAATGGGCCTTCATTTCCTGGCTGCTGGCAAATCAAGTTTCTAACTGAAGACGCGGACACCCAGAAAGCAAATGCGCATTCATTTAACCAAGGACCCCAGGACAGGGAAGGTGAGTGTTACAGGCACAGAGGGGCTTCTTTGTACTCATAGGTTAAGGAGGCTATCTGCTCCCTTTCTGAGAAAAAGATATAAATTCAATGTCTAGACGTTAACCATAATAGAGAAAAGACCAGAGCTATTATTTTTAAGCACAAATGAAAGACAGAGTATCAATCCTGGGATACAGGTATCAGCAAATTCCACACATGGAATGCAGGCACTATTTTTTTACTTTAATATGCAAATTTAAGCAACTACCCCAGAATATCACCTCCACTAAAGCTTTTCATTCCTCAGCAGGATCTTTGGTGAAGTTACTGTGTCACGGGAAACACACAAGACTGTATTCTGCCTGCTGATCTGTCAAGCTGGAGAATCTCCGAAGGCAAGAAAAAGTTTTGACTGTTCTGCACGGTCTTTAAATCATCTTCACATCACAATGTAAGGCCACAAAAAGGCAAGCTCAAACTGTCAGGTCCGTGGAATAGTTTTAATAAAGTTTTACATACAGTACCTTACATATAGAACAGTGTGTTTGCAAATTTAAATAATATCTGAATGTACAGTGGCATGAATTCTTATCAAAGATAAATTCAAGTTTACTGTCTACCAGTTCTAAATGCATTTATACAGATCCCTAGAACTGATACACAGAACGAGGCATAAAATATTCAAGTGTTATGTTATCAAACAGCCTCCTCTGAACAGTCTTTTTCCCCCTTTTTAAAAGAGTTTCAAAACCTATACATACATTTTTAATTTTTAAAAACAGTCTGTTAAAAGGTAACATTTCATGTTAACCACCAATTCTTATAGTCTACAGTAATAAAACTAGATATGTGTAGATATAAATATGTGTGGGCTATGTACATATGTACGTCGTGTTTGTTTCAAACAAGCGTCCGCACGCCCGCACCCGTGTGGAGCACTGGGCACGCAGCTCACAGAGCACTGCAGACAGGACCCCGGCTCGGAGTCCAGCAAGAGCTGACACAGCAACTTAGTTGCCTTTGGTTTCAGAAATGTGTTCATTTGTGACCAAAGCTAAAGGATTTGAGTTCATTTATTTCTAAAAATAAAATTCATCTTCTGAAGTGGAGCTTTCCAGTATTCCGCTACCAGTTTAAAACTCCGCGGCCGCAGGCTGTTTGGATGGCCCTGTGCCTCCTCGACCCAGTGAGGGACTCACAACTGTTCTTCTGAAGGAAACACCAAGCACGCTCAGGATCAAGCAGTGCGCCGAAGCCTGTATACTGCAATCCACCATATAACCACACATATACGTGGCACACACGTTTCGGAGGGACTGGTGGCACTATGTAAGACTGTAGGGAACTCCCACAATACCTAAACTTCTTTTTCCAGCCGCATTGTCCTCATTTGGCACACTGACCCTTCTGCAACCCATTTTGTTTTCAATGAGCTTAATGCCCACAATAAACTCCGATTATTTGGCGTTTGTTTTTAGAATATGATCAGAGTGACGTAACAGCTCCACGACTGCTCTCCTCAGAAGTGGGACTCCTACTGTTTTCTGACTACGGGCATTGTTCACCTAAGAAACAGCTCACAATCCTGTAACAGTTTAAACACCCTCAATTTCCATGTGGCTGCATCAACTGCAAAAACAGGTCTTGACGGCAACTTACAGAACTCTCCAGAATCTAGGTTTCCTCTACAACTTTGTTTTTGGCCAAATGCTGGTTTACAGACGAGGATCTCCCTAGTAAACACTATAAACACACCATACTTCTTTCTACTGGTATCCTGAGTTTCATGTGATCAACTACTCAAAACTCCTGCCAACTCATTCCTTCAGCATAGATGATATAGATTACTTTCACTGATCCTTGGCATCTAATACAGTATCATTTGCAGCTTGCTCATAAATTTTTTCATATTTGCTTCCCTGATAAAGTTGTTCTTCATTTTCCTTTTCAAGGTGCCATCCTAGTCTCAAATCAATAAAGGACCAAACCGCACTATGCTTTTAACTCTCCATCCAGCAGTCATGCGGGCAATAAACCCATTGCACTGAAGAGAGCCACGTCCTTCCTGCAGGTTCTCGCTGCCGTCATACAGAGCATAGCGTTGCTATCTGCTGCACTTTGCCCATGTCCACGAGGAGCTGCTTGATGTGGCGTTTAAGCTGGGGCAATCTTGTGAGAGGGTCAGGTGGCTCTAACTCCCCTGTGAAATCAAGCCAGCTTTCCAGAACTGAGAGAGAGAACAAACAGAGTTAAATGGAAACTAGAAGAACACTCACAAAGTAGTATAATCAGAAGGTGGGAAAAGTGATGGAGACAGAGTTCACCTCCCGTTTTCTAGAAGGCCAATATGCACAACCATTTAGCGGCCTTTATAGCTTATCCCACGAAGCTTCAAGTCCCTCTTGGTGACCTTAACCTACTATTATTTTAGATAATTTTTCCCTTGATATATATTTAAATTGACTTCATGTTGAACATCTCCTTTTACTCTCTTCTGGAAACAACAGTGCCCTGTGCCTGCTCAAGCTAGCTATTAACTGAGGATTGAATTGTCTCTACTTCATTTTAAATGAAACTTAGCTACTCTAACCATTTTTATTTTAAATCCAGAAGCTCGCTTTTAACAAAGGAAAGGAGGTGGCAATTTCTCAGTGTCCTTTCATGTCTATATCATTACTTTTTTAAAAACATGCAAGCATATAGAAGTCTAGGCAGAATGCAATTAACTTGCATTCTACAATTTTTATTAATAATAACGGGAGAGTGTCACTTTATTTTTTTTTTTTCTTTACAAATCTACTCAAAACATTAAGTTAACTCCACAGTTAGCTTATAATCAAATGGAAGATGCTTCTGAAATGGTTTCCATTTCCCCTTTTCTCAGGGAAAAACACAGCAGTAGGAGCTGACTCAGCACAGAGTAAGGGTATCACATCCTTTTGTAGATTAAAAAGAGGGGGGGATACCATCTATGATGCTAGGAGGGAAAAGGAGTCAGAAAGCACAGGAAAAACACTGGGTCAGGAACTGGGTGAGCTAAGCTACTCTACTTTCCTAACTACAAAGTCGGGATACTATCTTTCCTGTCTACTCCTCAGGGCTCCTGTGTGATCAAATTAAAAATATATTTAAAAAAAAAAAAATTTGAAAATTTGTTTGTAAACTTAAGGTTTACCTACTTAACCTTACAGGAGTTTTTTGTTGGTGTTAATTTCACCTAACAAATGTGACCAGTGTGAAAACAAAACTTGAGTGTTTTCCCTTGTATTTCAAATATACTTTGAGTCCTTATGCAGACTTCCAAAGAACACACAGTTGAACGAAACTAAATAATATCCCATATATGCGCAATACTGAGCCTGGCAGGTGGGCAATATTTCACAAACATCCACCTTAAAAACACACCTAAGATTATCCAACACACTGCGTTGAGCTTACAGGACCGCCCGTGGCCGCTGTGTTAAGCACATGTATAGGGAGCGAGGAAGCCCATCAGCATGGGAGCATCTGTAGTTTCCACCCCACAATTTAAAAAGCCTTAAACAACTTCTTCACAATAACAATAACCACACTCTACACGCTGCAGTAACTGCATTTTAGTTCTTTCTTAAATTACCGTCAACTTCTTTTTCTATGAGGTCCATCCTGCTGGTGACTTCATTCTGCACATTCTCTATGTGGGTAAGGAGGTTGAGCTGCCACTGCAGATGTGCATCTCCTGGATCTTCAGAGCCCTTTTTATCGTTATAAACAAATACTGTATTCTTTTCAGCTGTATTCTCCTCAAAAAAAAAAATTGGAAAAAAAGAGTTGGATGTAATGTACCATCATAAAAAAAAGATATATTAAAAGCCTCATCACGCCCCGCCGGGCGTGGCTCAGTGGTTGAGCGTCAACCTGGGATCCAGGCGATCCGGGTTCGATTCCTGTCAGGGCACATGCCCGGGTTTCGGGCTTGATCAATGACTCATCATTGATGTTTCTCTCTCTTTCTTTCCCTCTCCTTTCCTCTCTCTGAAATTAATAAAGATATATTTAAAAAATAATAATAAAAAAAAAATAAAAATAAATAAAAGCCTCATCACTCGCAAAGATCAGTGAAATCCAATCAAACTCCTAGTTTATTTTTAAAGGAAGTCTAGCCCATAATCATATGACATCTGATGGTCCTTAAGAGCAGATATTTCCGATATGTCTCCCCATAATGCCTAGCAGCACAGTGCTACACAGAGTCAATGGTATTGACTAAAACGTGATAAACAAATGAAGTCACTAATGATATTCTATAATTAGAATGCCCAGCTAATTTAGACTGACCCCTCCCCTCAATTCATCTAAACTGGTGACATAAGTAGATGGAAGGCAAAAAGCAATTATGGAAACATCAAGAAGGTTGGCAAAGACCAGTATAAAGTCCAATTAACTGTAGACTGGAATGGACTAATACAGTGAAACCAATGAGGCAAGAAAAAGACAAAAGTCTTTTTAAAACTTAAAGTGTGCAAACTACTTAGTGCACACACACCAAATCTGAACTCAGAAATAACCCTTTTCATAAAAGGGATATTAATTTGACAACATAATTTACCACAAGTTTTATAAAATACAAGCTTCCCAAATTCAAATATTTATTTATAGTAATTACTTGATAAAGGAAGCCAGACAAATGAACTAATTTTAAAGTGGCATTACTAAATGAAACTCAATTTTTAAAAAATGAAGGTACATCTCTAAAACAATCCTAATAGAAAATAAGTTTATAAATATTTACTGTACATAGAGCTCTAAGAAACTCAACTTACTGCATAATGGAAGTGATATATACATACAAATATGCTAGTATTTTAAAAAGAGAATTAAAGTGCCACCTCTTATCTAAAACACATAAACAAGAAAGACAAATTATATTAAAACATACAAACACCCACATGCATGCTCATGTTCTCACATACTAACACTTTCATTTGGAATAAAATGTGGTTCATGTTTTTTGTGGGTATCAAGTTGTGCTTATAAAAATGAAACTTTTGTTAGGGCAAAAGTTTACTGAAATACTACAATTCTGAATTAGCGGATAGCTAAATGTCCAAATGGCCACTGTTTTCTTGTAGAGAAAGTAAAAAGCGTCTACCCTAGCAAAGTATTTGTGAATTTGGACATATAAGTAAAATCTGGGAACTCGGTATGTTATTTTATTTCCCTTTGCTGACCTATCATATTTCTGAACAAAGACAAATAATCTAATTATACCTTTGCAGGCATTCCATCTTCTTTTACAGAGTACTGTACACGGCTTCTCTCTCTCACGCGGATATCTTGCTCTTCCTCGAGACTACTAACATCATCATCATCTGAGCTCCCGGGGTCTGCAAGAGCTCTGCAGTCCTGACCAAAGCTTTGTGGTTTCTGGTAGCTGTGCTCACTTGTAATGTAGGTTCCTTCCATTTTTAGGGGCACACGAGGTGGTTCCTTATGATTCTGCACATGACATTTCTTTTCTTCAAGATTAACCGCATCTTGCACTGTTATCTTTTTCTCTACCCCAGCAATCACTTGATCTTGGTCTTTTCGCTTCCCAGAACAGGCCCAGAGATGAAGGTCAGGATGGTGTTTATTCCTTAAAACAAGTTGGAGAAACAGCAATTGAAAAAAAATCTAGCAACAACTTTGATAACATAGTAAGTTTCACAATATAAAATTATGCAGCTAACCCTTGGTTCTGCCTGCCTTTTGTATGCTGAGTGTGCCTGACTCAGGCCGACTGACCCCAACTCCCTAGTGAAGACCTAGCCCACCGCTGAGGGAACCGGGTAAGGAGGAAGCCAGGGATTCAAGACAAAAGCAAAGATATTCTTTAGGTTAACTTGCCCCAGAACTTCACCCAAAATGTCAACTCTCACAATTTTATAGAACTAGCACTTGGGGGGAAAGGCAGGAATGGTTTTAATTCTCTTGACATTTCTCATCATTTGATATACGCACTTCTTTTTCTACTGAATTTTCACTATAATATTTTTCAATTGTATGATATGAAAAACTTTTATGTGAGCATATTTTAAAATCTTCATTTATCCAAAAAGTGATACCTGCTCAAGACAAAACTTCCGACTACAGCTGTGTGCAGAGCGAAACCCCTGCCAGGCGTTCACAGGGGCCTGAGGTGCACCCTCCCAGACTCCTCCACTTAGAGAATTCTCTTCAAAACGGGCGAGCAAGCACCTTTTCTTCCTGCACAACAGAGCTCTCACTGTCTGTGTTCCTCGTATGCCACATGTCTGGACACCCTACCATGTCAGTACATACAGATTTCCTTACTTTTAGTCTAGCAGCTAAGCAGTATTAATATACCAGTCTACCCATCCAGACAATCCCCCACTGACTGATGTATTTGCACACAGGTGGGACTATTTCAATCTGATAAGTTTCTAGACAAGGAACTGAATATGCCCATTTTCATTTTTAAAGGAGCTGCCCAAGTGACTTTCAGAGGGTGGTTCTGGGTGTGAGTATAAACGCCTAGAGCTATGGAAAAGCAGGCTTCATTCAGGGACTGCGGTTTGGCTGAGCTGGAACATTTGGAAATAAACAGGAGGGAAGATATGGAGATAAACTGGCAGACAGTTTGTCACTGAAGGACTGAGAGTGAGTGCACGTGGAAGAGCTGGACTGTTTACCGAGCCCCAGGAAGACACGACGGTAAACTCAGCTGAAAGAGACAAGCTCATATTTGTCTTTTACTAAGAGCATGGTGGCAAGAGTAAAAGGATAAACTGAAGAAGTGCAAGACTGGAGCCGCAGAGAATTAAAGAGGGACAGCAACTGTTCATAGGAAAGAACAGTCTGGGCTGAGCCAGTATGGAGAGGAGCAACAGGAGTGGACTACACACACTGGGAGATTACAGACACTGGAGCACTTAAGGTGGGAGGTACCCAGATGGGGATGGAAGGAGGGGAACAGGCAAATGAGCCAAAATAAAGACTATTCTGTGAAAACCAGTGACTCATCCTGTTTTTATAGAAATACATGGGTTTTTAAAAATAAGAATTCTAGGTAGGATCAGAAGAACTGAAAATAGGACATGAAGAACATTCTGATATCCTGCTGGAGACAAAAGTGTGCCTTCTGTGGGCAAGTGTCTGGGAGGACTGAACCACATGTGGTGCACAGAGGAGGGATGGACTAAAGACCTGCTGGCAACCTTCACAGTCAGTTCCAAGGTCAGTGAAAAGTATATTGCTGACTCCATTTCATCCTGACAGCATTCCAGGACATACAGCACAGTGTCCACGGCAGCAAGTGACTTGAGTTTGGTGCAAGTGTAGCACACAGAGCCATGGGCAGGGCCTAAGGTGCTGAAATAGCAGATGCTGTATCTACCTCTACAAGACCTACTCACTCCAGGACAATAGGCACGAAGCAGCTAGTCATCCAAAACATTATTAATCTTTCCTTTTCTTAAGTCATTATTCAAGTAACTATTCTGCATTAAGATGCACACTGATACAGATGGAGCCTGGGTCCTGGGTCCGCCCACTTACTTGAGTATGCCAATCTTCAGCTGTAGTCCGTGCAGCACTTCTGTGACACCATACACGTCGGCAAGAAGGTGATGCGTGGAAACTATCTTTTTGGCATTAAGATGAGAATAATTTTCTTTTACAAATGATAACCCACACATTCTCCCATTATTCAACCAGTCCTTATCGTAACGGTATTTTGCACTGCACCGCTGACCTGTAGAGGAAATTGGTATTAAAGTCACAAGGGATCCCACTCCTTCAAGTTTCCCTTTAGCCACCACCCTCCTAACAACCCTCAGTAGGCAAAGCAAGGTCTCCTAAGAAGACAAACTCCAAAGAAGGGCAGGGAGTGTTCTGAGGAGCTGGCCCTAGAAAAGGACTCCCATCCCTGAGGACAGGCTCCATGAGTGTCAGTGGCAGATGGCACCAGCAGGACTGCGAGTGCGCTGCTTCCCACTTTGCATGGATCTGTCATCTGCCCTCTAATAAGGATGAGAGGGCTGGACAGGAACTAGACAGGGACACCTGCTTTCTCACTGACCTTTCTTGTGAACCAGATGAAACAAAGAGTTCTAGATAAGTGACTAGGGAGCCCTCCCCCAGTGTCTGAGGTGTGGCAGAGCCCTACACAATCCCGTATCTTTGATGTCAGTAGTAATTATATCCCACTACGATTAGCTATGTGTCTGTGTCCCCTACTACATTACAAGATAGTGGAAGGTGTCCTTAGAATCAATCACCTTATCTCTTAGTGTTTAACAAACAAAAGGTAGCCAGTGAATACTGCTGAATGAATGGACCAATGTCTACATTCATATCGGTCTGAGTAAGTCTCCTGCTTCTTAACATTACTTCATTTCTGTGACAGACCTGAGAACAGCTCATTAGCCTTTTATTTGAAATATCGAGTTCTTTTCTGCCTCAGAAGCTGAGAATATACAATGTACAGAACATGCTCCTCGGAGAGCCTCAACGGAAGGCACTCAGGGGAAAGCCACTGAATGGGGGTTCAAAGGTGTAGGTTCCATTTAGTACTATCCTTGTGCACAAGACATTTAACTTGATGTGCCCTAGTTGCCTCATCAGTGAAATAAAGGAACCATATGTGATAATCTGAGATCGCATCTGCTCTGAAATTGGCTGGATATAAAGCACCAGCAGAAACTTGATAAAACCAGGTCAGGAATGTAAGTTCAGAACAGGGCTCCACTCAAACAGGCATACGTGAACCCATTTAGAAACCAATACGCAGAGTGTACCAAGGGGCTAGCTCTTCTCCAGGGAAAAGCCTTAACTCTGTCCTTCCAGTAAGGTAGTAACTATGCTGATGAAGCTACGGTAATGTTTCTTCCTAAGTCATTAAGATGAAAAATATTTGAAAATTTTAATATGGAAGCAGAGTCTAACTGGCAAGAAAGGGGTGTGTCCTATGCATTTGACATCCTGTGGAATTCTTAACAAGACCCCTGGGTGTTGGCTGTTGCAGTGGGCAATCTTACCGGGAGGGTCGCGGCAGACATAGCAGGTGTACTGCTCCGGAATGCTCTCCTCCAGCAGCCCCAGGCACACGCTGTGCTGCCAGCACAGACACTCGTCACACTGCCGGGAGAGAGAGGAGCCCACAGTCACCGCTGACTCGCTACACACACACACACACACACACACACACACACATACATACATACATACATACACACACACACACACAGCTTCCCTTCCTCAAGCTTACTCCACACAACAAAAGCAAGTGAGACCTGAAGATAAATTTTATTTTTGAAACAGTCAACTATTTCGGGAACTTTCTCCTGCTGCATCTATTAAAATTACTTGATTCATAAAAAAGTCATAAAACTATTTCTCTCATTTATTTCCCACTGATTTGGGGCAATTACAGATTTTAAACTCTTAAAAACAGTTTATTAAAGTGCAGAATTTTTTTTCAAAAGGCAAGTTTGAAAAACAGTGCCAGTAACAATCTCGTAAGGCATTGCCTGTAAGTTTATAGTTCCCTTATTTGAGAAAACCACTAAAAACAGGGAGAAAAAAAGAGATTACTATTTTTTCATTCCCGCAATTAACATGTCCAAATTTTCCAAATGTCATCACAAAATGTGTTATGCTTCCCTTTTTTCTTAAAGATACTCTGTCTGCAGGGAGAGACTGTCTGCAACCCTCACAATGCTTTCCTTTAATCTTTGAGAATAGTGGGAACTTTCATGGTTTCATAGCTGCCTGGTGAAGGGTGACTAAATAATGTAAATTATTACAGCAACAGGGATCCACAGCAGCAAGAGGGGGGCTACGGTCTACCCGTCAGTGTGGACACTTACCCATCTTAATGGCTCCTGAAATGAATTTCAGCTTGAAGGCCTCAAACTAAGCACCCTGGCAAAGGGAGAGTGGCCATCAAATAAGAAAAGCCTCCTTCTCCGATGAAGTGATGTCCCTGCCATCACTACTGGCATCATCAACATCACACTAAGTTAGAAACCCCACCTTCCACAGGACAGTGTTTAGAAAGAGAAAGCAAGCGGATGCTCCTGCTGAGCCGAGGTCACCAAGCCCATCCTGGGGGCAGGCGGCGCACCTGGATCATGAAGCCATTCTCCTCGTCCATCTCGCAAATGCACCGCACGATTTCATTAAGAGCATCATCCTCGTCCTGAGAGTCCTCAAAATTGGTTGAGTCAAAGTCCTGGTTGTACTCATCCCCACTTAGAAGCAAGCTCTCTGTTGAAGAGTCATCTAGGAATTCCATATCCGTTAAGTCTAGAATACACATAAAAGTATACTCAGCGTATTTTTCCATTTTTATGGGAAGTGATTATAAGCTATTACATATTTAGCAACTGAGGGCAAAAAAATGGGGGCAGATTATCTCTGGACAAAGAAACAAATTATTTTTGAAATTTAGGTAATAATGCTTGCTTTACATCGCAATCTATACGCTATTACAAATAACTCAGGAAGTATCTCCTAGTCTTGGAGTTTAGAGGTAATAGCTAAGGTTAATATTAATAATTTAAATATGCATAGGTTCCAAATGCTTTCATAAGTTTTTCCCCTTTGGTCTTCGTTGTAGAGAGAACAGGTTTCAGTATCTGCACAATAACAGCACTGCAGAGAGGTGAAGGAGCTCACCGAGGGTCTACTACCAAAATTATAACTCATAAAAGTATCAGTATCACCCGCTACCCACTGCACTTAATACACACCAGGTACAATGCTAAGCACTGTAAATATAAGATACGTAACTTGCACGAGCAGTGCAGCCAGCTGGGGACAACACCCACCGCTCACCAGCCTGCCTGACTCTAAAGCCCGCGTCCTCAATGCTTCACCAGTGTTTCCTAAACCCGGATCACGAGCTCCTTTATCAATTTAAAAATTTCATTTTGATAAAAATATGTAGAAAATTAATAAGTATATTCTAGAAATTAGAGTACATAGAGGACTGCCACATGCCTGATTTAAATGCCAGATTTCCGGTTTGTATTTGTA